GCAGTGTGGTGGGCGGAATTGGTCCGGGAAACTGTTGGGGTGGGGGAGGGGGTGGAGGGAAAGGTGGGAACGTGTTGTTGTGGCTGTACATGTGAGCTGAACCCCAAGTAGTCGGGATTGGTGATGAGGTGTGTGGTGGGATGTTGTGTATCCCTGGTGGTGGGGAGATCGGGTGCAATGGGGTACTGCTGGTCGAGGTTGTTTGTCTCTGCACGGTACTGATTGCTGTACCGATGATGCCTGTTGGCATTGTTGTATGCCACTGAGGCTGTGTCGGCTTGTACATGGTTGCACAGTGGGGCACTACAGTTGCCTGTGACTGCAAAAGCTGCACATGGAACATGCATGATCAACCTGGTTGGCTTGAGCGTCAACATCAACTTGTGCGAGGCATCCAGCATGCAGCTGCATCGAGTCTTCTTTGGCTCAAAAGCGAGGTCGGAGCAAATGCCTGATTGCAAACGACTATGTGTACAGGGATTCAGGCCTGGAAGAAAAAGTACTAGAGAGTTACAGGAAGACACAGAAGAAGAAATCAACATCACTGAATGAGGCCGAATCCAACGATGCTGAAGTGCCCGGAATGGAATCCCCACTTCTCCGGGGTCCGCACAACACCCTTTCGCCCCACGATGAAGGCTTCTCTGTACATGTCCCGATACGTCATCTTGTAATGCTGATACTTAGTCCGTATTGTCCCGATGACGATCACTCCCTGTTGGCCCTTGGGCCGCCGCGTACATTGATCGGTAACTATATGTACCGTGCTTTCCGACACATCTCCTGGGGTCGCATTCCCGTATATGACGCAAGAGGGAATGGGTGGATAGGACTTGTCGTCGAAGCAATGGCTGACAGAACTTGGGCGGACCAAGTCCTCACGCATTATGCGTGCGGCACTTGCAATGCTCGTGCCGTGTCCGGCGGTGTAGATGTATGTTTCCCCTGGTGGGTCAGTGGCACGAGTGCCGAATGCTCTGCGAGTCTCACCAGCCCACGGGATGAATAACATAGTATGCACGCCGTCCGATATTGGCGTCAGCGTTGCTCCCAATTCGTTGCACGCTGAGCGCGTGCCCGACTGTAATACGGCATGCGCGAAATCGGCTAAAGTCTCCTGCCTGAAATCGCTGTCAGCAGCTATCTCGCCCAAAGTTTTGGCGAGTTTGTGCGCTTCCTCCAAGTCGACAGCGTGGGGTGTCGGCTTTTCATGATCATAAAGCTCAGAGAAAGGCGCCACATCAATCTGTGGTGGTCTGCTCTGTTTGCCCAGTTGTTCGAGGGTTGGCTGACCCGATGGGGCAGCAGTTGTGGATGCATCGAAAGTCGGAGCAGGTGTCCGAACAGAGCTGGGGGGATTGTGCCGAAGCTGTTGGCGCGAGGATGTGCCCTGGCTTGTTGGGGGCTGCTGTTGTGCTGCTTGGCTGCCCTTGATGCGGAGGGCGATGCGCTGAACCTGCGAAGCCAATGTTTTTTGTGGGACCTTGGGTGGGGTAGGTGGCCTTTGACGTGGCTGTGTGGCTCTGTAATGCCACTTGTTGGCATCATCATCACGCACTGTAGAATAGCTGCGGAGCACAACCGAGGTCCGAGGAGGTGTCGATGAAGCACGCCTGGTGTCCCTGCGAGAACGGCTTCTGCGAGTGTCGCGGGATCGATGGTGTCTGCGTCGGCGGTGCTGTCTGCCGCTGCTTGCAGGTCGTGCTCGGCTGCGCGTGTGTCGACGGCGTCTAGTGCTCACGGTGCGAGTTCTGCTGCGTGTGGGTGAATGCCGTCGTCTGCGTGGCAGCGGAGGGTGATGGGGAGAAGTACGGGCTGCGAGCTGGTCAGTGTCTGCCGATCCCGTATCTGGGGGTGGTTGTGCGGGTGGCACTGTATTGACGGAAGGGGTGTTGGCTGTGTTTGTTGGTTGTTGTTGTTGGGGCGTCATTGCCGGTGTCTGCGGGGCAGTGTGTGCAGCATCGGCAGTGGGAACACTGGTGGGGTGGGGTTGTGGAGCTTGTTGAATTGTTGTTGGCGGCGGTATGTGGGATTGTTGAATGGGTTGTGTGGGAGGGATGTTGCAAGGTGCAAGTTGGGGTTGTGGGGCAGGTGGTGTAAAAGGAAAGTTGAATGTGGTAGGTTGGGCCTGATGCTGTGTCGAAGCAGATGGGCTCATGGGAAAAGCTGTTAGATGGGTAGGCAAAAGAGCAGGATTCATGAGCGGTGTGGGTTGTTGTGACATGAATTGCTGGGGTGGAGGTTGTTGTGGCATCTGGGGTTGTGGTGTGCTGAGATGTGTGTAGATCGTCGGATGCTGTGGAATAGGAGCGGTGTGTCCACACGGCATCATGGGGAAGCCGTGTGTTTGCTCAAGAGGAATCGTAGTGGGTTGTGTCGGCAGTGTGGGCTGCTGAGTGGCAGCAATGCCGGTTGGCATCATTGCTGGGTAGCTTTGAGACTGCGGTACCCAGGTGTTCTGGTGAAATTGATTAAGCACCGGTCGGGCTGTTGGTGCATATGGTGTTGCTGGTGGCTGCGCGGCAAAATAATCCGGCCACATAGCTGCAACGAAGCGGGTGAAACACACACAGTTGCACAAGCAAAGTGCAGGCTGTCCTGATTGTCCCTGCTGGACTGATTTGAGAGGTCGTAGACGGAGAGAAGGAAGGTAGAGGGCCGAGTACTCTCCGGAGAGAGCGCTGCTTCACTTGCTGTAGACATCTTTACCACGTCTGCACTCATGTCAGATGCACATGCCCTTGCAGTCCCTGAGGAATAAAGAAGTGGAAAAATACGGGGCAGACTAGAGAGGTAGCACCTGCTCACTAGACGCACTTTACCGCATTAGCCGTCCCTTACTGCACCTGCACTCATGTCAGACTCACATGCGAGCATCAGAGAGAGAGAGATAAAGTAGCATCTGGAGAATCTGAACGATCTGAACGAAGGCTGAACACCCGGTTCATCACCGGTCTCCCCGGAGGGTCACCACGGCGCCATGACGGAAAGCCGTTGCTCTGGAGTCTCATAGACCCACGCTGATCACACTGATGGATTCGGCCAAGAGTACGAGTGCAAGAGGAAAAAGAGAGGCATGTTGTTCATGTTGCAAAAGCTTGTCAGATTGTGGCAACCGTACAACTTGTTTGTTGTCGAATCAACCGCCAAAAGTGGCAACTGAAAACTCTCTAATCTTGGCACAGGGGCCTTCTAATCGGGCTGGCACAGGGGCCCCAGCTCAATTTTGTGCAGGTACAAGGTTTGGCGTCCCAAACCTCTTCCCATGGTGTTGCTAGCTTCGTTGGCCAGCGTCACAACACCATGCGCTGGCCCCCTGCAACATTTGATTCGGTAAATGTCAAATGTCTGATTGAGTTGCAAAGCAAAAATTGCAAACAGTGTAGGAGTGACCCTCTGCTCCCATGTGCTAGGGAGGTTCACACACACACACACACACACACACACACACACACACACACACACACACACACACACACACACACACACACACACACACACACACACACACACACACACACACACACACACACACACACACACACACACACACACACACACACACACACACACACACACACACACACACACACACACACACACACACACACACACACACACACACACACACACACACACACACACACACACACACACACACACACACACACACACCACAACACACACCACCCCCCCCCCCACCCACCCCACCCCACCCACCCAACCCCCCCACACCCACCCACCACCACACCACCACCACCCCCCACACCCCACACCACACCACACCACACCACACCACCCACACCACCCACACCACCCACACCACACACACCACACACACCACACACACCCCACACACCACACACACCCCACACCCCACACACACCACACACACCCCACACACCCCACACACACCACACACACCACACACACCACCACTCACCCCCCCGCTCACACCACACACACCACACACACCCCACACACCCCACACACCCCACACACCCCACACACCCCACACACCACACACACCACACACACCACACACACCACACACACCACACACACCACACACACCACACACACCACACACACCACACACACCACACACAACACACAACACACAACACACAACACACACACACACACCACACACACCACACACACACCACACACACACCACACACACCACACACAACACACAACACACAACACACAACACACAACACACAACACAGAACACATTACACACAACACACAACACACAACACACAACACACAACACACATCACACATCACACGTCACACGTCACACATCACACATCACACATCACACATCACACATCACACATCACACAACACACAACACACAACACACAACACACAACACACAACACACAACACACAACACACAACACACAACACACAACACACAGCACACAACACACAACACACAACACACAACACACAACCCACAACCCACAACCCACAACACACAACACACAACACACAACACACCACACACGACACACGACACACGACGCACGACACACACGACACACACGACACACACGACACACACGACACACACACGACACACACGACACACACGACACACACGACACACACAACACACACAACACACACGACACACGACACACACAACACACAACACACACAACACACACAACACACACAACACACACAACACACACAACACACACAACACACACAACACACACAACACACACAACACACAACAACACACACAACACACACAACACACACAACACACACAACACACACAACACACACAACACACACAACACACACAACACACACAACACACACAACACACAACACTCAACACACAACACGCAACACACAACACACACACACACACACACACACACAGCAGTCTGTGAACATTTTCTCCGTAGCATGTCAACAGAAGCTATGGGAGTTTGACGGTCTCACGCATTTGTTGCTCCTGTGTTGAGCAGGTTGAAGGGCCAGGGGCCTATCTGCTCGAAGGCCACTGCAATTCCGACATCAACGGGCGCTATGACCTGTGGGGCCACACTGCCAGCGGAAGGCCATTCTACAAGCAGTCGGGCGAGCAGCTGTACCTCTACTACGATCCCGATTGCGATGGCAATCCGGCCACCACAAGCAGTCACGAGGGCGCTGTGTGGAACATTGGTAGTTCTCGTCCTTCCACGTGGAGGGAGCAGGATTTAGACAATGATGGAGCCTGCGTTGGTTCGGCGCTCCTAGGCTTTGAACTGCCCTAAACGACGTTGATCCTGGCCCTAAACCTAAAAGACTCAGTCTCCCCAATGTCTGCGCAGCATTCGACAGCTCGGTCTCTTTAGGTGGGTCGAGATCAACACAGAGCTCCCACCACCGAGTGCTACGTGGCAAACATATTGCGCCGGCTGGTCGTGGGGCGACAACCAGTGGTCTGACGACACGCTCACACTTTCACCGGCCCTTTGGCAGCGGCCCAGGAGTTTGCATAGGCTTCTAGGTTTTTGGTGGGGAACCCTCAGGAGTTATTCCACCTTATTACAAGTTCCGCCGCGATAGGCCCTACTCAAAACTGTGGGTCACGATGAAGTGTGCTGCTGGGCAGACTTCCGCGATTCAGGGGTGGCATCTATGTGAATGTCAAGCCAGAGCAGCGTTGATATGAAGCCCAACCTATACCCTGAACCGCAACCCCTAAGCCCTAAACTCCTAAACTCCTAAACCCTGAGCCCTGAACCCCAAGCAATACAAGTAGGCCCTAAACCTTAGGCCCTAAGCCCTGAGCCCCAAGCCCTAAGCCCTAAGCCTTAAACCCTAATCTCAGTGAGGTCGGATCAGGCGGACTTAGGGAGGGCCTTAAGCCCTAAGCCCTGACAAGGCCTCAGCCCTAAACCCTATAAGTCCTAAGCCCCGCAGTTAGGTCGGATCAGGCGGACCTTGGAAGGAAAAATCGGTGACTAGTGGGCCGTCGAGCCGCGAGAAGCAGTCCTCGGCAATGGACAGCTCAGACCGCTTTTGGATCTTTGGAGGCGCTTTAGGGTTTAGGGTCTAGGTTCAGGGGTCTGGAGTTTAGGGGTTTAGGGTTTATAGGGGTTCAGGGGTTTAGAGTTTAGGGATTTCGGGTTTAGGGTTCTGGGGCTTAGGGGGCTTAGGGTTTAGGGGTCCAGTGCACGGTGAAAGACTGCTCAACGATCTGCAAACCTTACCCTCCTTTTCCGGTATGACAAAGTCCCGTCTTCAATTGAAGACCTTATCTCTAAACCCTCTGGTAGACCTTGGACCCAACGGCTGATCGCCTAGCAACGACAATCTCTTTATTCTTACAAATGCCCTAGACCTGATGCAGAAAGTGGCGTAGATTGTGTGGTGCTGTCAAAGGCTGGGATGGAAGCAACTACCTCAATGACCTGTGGTATTTCGACATCCAGGCAGGCCTTTGCCACCGTGATGCGACAAAAAAAGTACAAGAAGTGCCGTCCTCTACCTCTAGTCAGGGCAATGTCCTGAAACAAGGCCAGTACAGTCCTCTACTGCGGAGACCTCCTGACATGGGAATTATCATACCAAGCCTGGGAGCGGGTTTGCCAAGAAACTTTGGTAGTTCCGGAGAAGAGCCAATCCGGAAGCGAAACAGCCTAAACTCTAAACCGAAGCTCCAGTCCAAAAAAGTGCAACCAGAACGTCACAGACATACAGCGATACCTACACACCATTATACGTAACAATACTATTATTATTGAGTTTAGTTTTATTGTCATTATTCTTGCCATGATTGTTATTTTGATTATGATTCTTTTTTATTGTTATTCTAAGTATTACTATGACTTTTTGGAGCATTGTCGGTGGTACCTGCCTGGACATGAAGATATTCTCGTACAGATGCTGATGAGCTTCTGGGAGAAAAGGAACGTGGTGCCCCAGCATGCTCAACCCCACACCCAACACCGGATGCCTTCAGGCTGCAGTCCTGACTTATCAGGTTTCCCATGAAGTCATTGCCTGCATCAAACGTTGCATGCGTATGCCCAATGAGGACCAACAAGGTATCATGATGCGAGGGCCCAAACTTCAAACAACCTCAGAGTGGGATTGCAGCTAAGCCCTGAATGTGAAAGGATATGGAAGCATCAGTTCCGGAGTTGCTATGTAAGTCTATCATGCATGTGTGTGTGCATAGCCGTGTGCCGTCGAGACAACTGTTACAGACTGCCCGCCAAATGCCTGGCGTAGTCAAGTCATGCCTCGAGTAGAGCTTTCGGTAGAAGGACAAAAGCGGGCTCGAGCTCACTGCCCCATTGATATCAGACTAGCGTAGCCAGCTGAAAGCCTTTTGCCTTGCCAGCAAGATCTACAACATAGTGGTTTTCCCGCCTCCCGCTGCATTCGCAACTTGCCGAGCTGTGTGGGTTGAAGCTCATGTTTTGTGAGGGGAGCCAGCCGGGGATATCTTGAGTCCCAACCCTCACACTTCCAAAACCCCAAACCCTGAACTTCATCTCTGCGCAAGGCTGACGTATGGAGATCACCAGAGATCTCCGGGTCCCGACCATCCGCACGAAGGAGCCACGCCTCCGCCGTGTCCTCCTCCGGGCGGTTCTGGGTCTTTGGAGGTCCGCAGTGGGGAGCTTCAGCATTGCAACTACAACGTACATGTGCATTAAAACCTATCGGTGCCTGCATTGCTCCAATCTTAGAGTCCGAAGGCCTATTGGGTGATGAGCACGTCTGGAAAGAGCTTGATGCTATCGCTTTTTTTCACTGACGCTCGAGGTCGAGGTGGGGATTCGAACTTGCTGAATGACCTGTGGCACTTTGAGCTGGAGGCCGGGAAGAGGCACAGTCCACAGACATGCAAGCTGTTCCATGGAAGGGTCCTGGGTAGAACCTCCACTCGGATGGTTTGCATGTTCTCAAGATCCTGCTACATTCGCCACATCGTCTGCTCTGGCAGCACTGCATAAGCCTACGGGGAAAGGGCGGAGGTTGTCGAGAGTACATTGACAAAACGGCGGATTGTGCGCTGAAATCCCTTCCGGCCGTGTTAAACAAACGTGCTCAGGCGGGCTGGACTCAGATTGATTCGGCCTCTGGGCCGTCCGCTCGAGCCAACCACGCTGCTGCCGTAGATGCCTCTGGCCGCTTCTGGATCTTTGGAGGCGCGGCTCCAGGATGGGGGGACTCTGAAGCTCAGACGTAGACGTGGGTGTGTCTTTTCCCGTGTCCTTATGGCACATGGCCTCAGCATTTGCAAAGCAGTTTGGGGCTATCCGTGCTGGCGCGGGAGTTTTGAAAACGTGCTGCAGCGTTTCTCACACGCAGGCAACTCAGACGGCCGTGTCGGAGACCTCTGGTCTTTCGATCCCGAGGCAGGGGGCTTCCTTGTAGGAATGTCTCTGCTTGCGGTCGGGAAGCTTCACAGCGAAGAGTGGCCGTGGTCCAGGAGAGGAAGTGGACCTTGGCGAGTTCGAGTTCCTCTGGGCCTTCTGCGCGCGCGGAACACTCGTGCTTCCTGGACGCTTGGACACCGAAAGGAGCGGCATTATTTTGAGCGCTTCGCGTCGTCCGCCTCGGCCCGGCTGTGGTGCATTGTTTCGGAAAGCAGCAACCCGAAAAGCCTGCCAAGGCCCATAGGCCTGAAGCCCGAAACTCTAAACCCCCAACCTTAAAGCTTAAACCTTGAACCCGAAAGCCTAAACCCTAAGCCCGCAGCGTATAGGGAGAAAGCGCAATGCAAGCGTGAAGCTCACATGCCATGGCATGGGAGAGGAGCAGGGAACGAAAAGTTGACATTGTTGGAGCGGGGTGGGGCCGGTGGAAGAAGCGAAACTTCACGGTTCTGAGTTCCTAGATTGTCACGAAAGCTCCCCGTGTGGGAGCTTCGTTCAATACCTCACGAAGTGAGCTTGGGGTTATCGGGGGGGGGGGGTGCGGGGGGGGGGGGGGGGGGGGGGGGTGCTTTTTTTCGTTGTTTTTTTCGTCTATCCCCCGTCTGGAGCTGGGAAAACCGTCGTTGCCAAGGGGGCCTGTTTTGGGCCAGATTTGGTAAGTGCATTTTGGAGATGTTCGCAGGAGAAGTGGGGCTCCTCTGATGCTGCTGATGCTGGCCTGGGTGTGCTTCCTGATGCTGCTGATGCTCACCGTATCGTGTAAGAACGAAACTGCTGATGCTGCTGATGCTGGCCGTGTCGTGTCATGTGCGACAGGAACAGAACTACTGGAAGTACTGCGCTGGGCATGCTGCAACATTTTTGTCCCTTTATGGTTAGCAAAGGTGTCTGTCTGTTTGCTTTCTGCATCTTCCGGGCTGAGATCAGACATTTGTAAGTGTCGTTACTTGCCTCGACGAACTTGGCCTGGACCCGCCTTTTGTTTTTTTCGGCTCGATTGGCTGCGCAGTTGCTGCCACGAGCTTCGCTAGGGCCTCTCTATTCCTGTAAGCTCCGTGTCGCCGTCCTACCCCTACTAGAGCTTTCGTCCGAGCCCGTGGCTCTCAAGTATAGTTGAAATTCACGTGGGAGCGAACACGACTCTACAGATGATGCATTTGGGGGCCACGCCACTGACTGGCGCTACGCTCTTGGGGTGACCTATGGGGTCACACCAGCGACTGGCGTTACGGACGTGGGTCCCCGTATGCCAAAACACGTGCGGCACACCACTGACTGGCGTTAAGGTCCTGTGGTCCTCAGATTGTGCACTCCAGAGTCTCACGGTGGTCACTGGGGTTGGGCACTCCAGGGAGTCTCACGGTAGCGAGTTTTTACAGTAGTCTCTGGGGTTGGGCACTCCAGAAAGTCTCACGGTAGTCTCTGATTCCAGGGAGTCTCATGGCCCAGGCAACCTCTGGAGGTAGTCTCAGCGTGTGAGGAGCGGACGAGGAATGGGCGGGAGAAATAGCTGGTGGGGAAAGAAAACCTATCTAGTTATTCGAGCCGTACTGAAACCCACTGAACGTTTCAGAGGTATGCAAGGTGCTCCGCTGCATGTTCATCGTCCATTGCAAGTTTTGCAGGGGCTGAAACGTTGAAAGGTTTGAAAGCGCAACCAAGGATGCACTCGGCCATTTGTGGGTTTTCGGTGGCCACGACGGGAGCAAGCTGCTTGATGACTTGTGGTACTGGGATTTACAGGCCTGGCTTGCAGATTCCTGTCCGCGCAGCGTGAATTAGTGATGCCTGAGCAGGCTTCCGATTGGGTTCAAGTCCAAGCAGTCACGGACGGCGGTCCAGATGCTCGCGCAGACTCTGCTTCTAGTATGAGCCCTTTCGGCGGCTGGATCTTTGGAGGCCGCACCGTATGCTCATGCAGTTCACTCAGCAGAACCAGCACCTGCCAAGCTGCAGGAAGCAGAGATGTCAACGGATATTGGAGCGACCTGTATTACTTGGGGGTCAAGGCCATCTCCTGATCCATGTGAGAGTCCAGGAGTGCTTATCATCTTTCCCGGATGGAGTAGGAAGGCTACTCGAGGCGAACCCCAAAGCGCCGGCTGTTCTCGAAGCTCCGCTTCAGATGCTTGTGTTTTTGTTCGACGCTTGTGTTTTATAGTGTGGTCTGGTTCAGGTTCCTCCGGTGCTGTGAGCCCTTCTGGCCTCATACCGGGGTCAGAAGCTGCAGCCAACCCCCTGATGCCCTGTTGTCATGTCGCTTCTCATTGACCACAGAAAAGGCAAGCATTGGTGAAAGAAGTGTCCTTCGAGTGCTGTTGCAAATTACGTGTTGCAGGGGCACGTGCTGCAGAGTACGACTGCGACTGAGGCCAGAGTGCTTTTGGGTGGGGCTGTGGGGCATCTGCGCCCGTCCTTGAAAGCTCGGATAAATCACAACACATGAACGGTTCCCCCACCCCAGGTGTCGTCCACGACCACGACCTGGACTTCCACCAGCCAGGCTGCAATTTCAGCCTTGTTGTGTGTACGTGTGGCAGGGTAGTTTAAAGCTGGTACGACAAAACCGGATTATGCAGGCAATGTAGGCTTCCTGAAGACTAGGCTTACCTATCTTGGAAGTTTTTCGGTTCTTGCCTTTTCTTGTCCAGGACCATTGTTTTCTACCCACAGATTTTTGAGAATACCCAAGCATCCTAAGACATAGAAGTCATAGAAGCATTCTCTGGCAAAAGTTGTGTTTTCATTCTTTCTAGATGCAAATTTCCGCAAGAATTCAATGGGTTTTGATACATACAATGCCTCAGCCATACATCATTGTCCTGTAGGACGTCAAGAAGAATATTTTGCCAATCCAAACGGTGTTCCTTAAGAACTGTTCAGGATTTGTCGGTTTGAGCTTCGAGGATTCGCTAGCCTCAGCACGAATAGTCTGCTACCTTCATAAGCCATGCGCCAGACGTGGAGCACAACCTTCACATCCACGATCTCCACGATCATCACATCCACGGTCTCCACGATCACGACTTCCAGGTTCGACCGAATGTGCTGCGGCGGCCAAGAGAGATTACGTCTGCAGACCTTCGCCAGCTGAGGCCCAAGTGGCAGGTGGTTGAGAAGAGCCCCGTGGAGATAGGCCCGATGTGCAAGTGCATGACCTGCACGCCAGGTTTTTTTCGAAACTGTTCCCTCCTGTTATCGCATGAGCATGTTTCACATGAGGCATTCAGCAGCAGAAGTGCCACGCTGAGCAGGACCCGCCGCGTCCGTGCAGCAGCAGGAGGCTGCAGCAGCTGTGCAGATGGAGGATAGGAGACAGCAGAATGCTGTGGCCAGTGCTTTGCCGGGGCCTTGGAAGTCTAAATGCTGGGTTCCGCCCAAAAGCCTTGAGGTGGACTCAGCCTCGCCATTTCATATACTTCATAGCCATTGCACCTGAGGCAAGAGCTGGATTTGGAAACGCTTGAGGAAGTCGGCGGCTTCACGGTTGATGAAGAAGGCGCTTCACCTCGATCTTTCACTGCTTGTCCTTGTCAGATCCTTGAGCACACTGGCAAAAAAGGCAGCGTGACGGTCGCCGCGATCTCCCCGCGGGCGAATGCCTCGTCCTTCCGCTTCCGTGCTGCGTCACGCGGCCAAGGCTGAGATGCGTTGAAACGCTCTGAAGGCCTCATAAGGCCGCATAAGGCCGGGGTTGTCATCACCAGTACACGGTACTCGGTACTCCTGCCATTCAGGCGACTCGAGGGTACCGTAATTTAGGAGAAGTCGCAGAAGCATCACAATATCCGCCTCCGAGTTCAAAGGCGGGAACTTCATGTTCATAATACGTTCTTGTGGGCGTAAGGGGAGGCAATAGCTCGGGGTTTAGGGTGTAGAGTTTGTTACATGCCTCCACAGTCAGTACGTTGACGGACACCCATACAAACTTGATGCTCGCATTGCATAATCATGATAACAACAACAATAACTGTGGTGCATATCGGCTCGCACCAAGCCGTCTATTTGGGAATGTGTCCTCATTTGCCGAGGAATGCATCGCTCTTTCGTTTGCTTCTCATTGTAAGTGATTTAATAGAGTGTAGTGTGTAATGTGCATTCCTTCTGGCTGGCTTGAAAAAGGAAGATAGAATGAACCATGCTGATGTTGCGAGTGCATTGCCTGCCTGCAGATTTTACGCCTGATGTGGAGATTCCGGTTTCGCTGGTCGCCGACGTCTCCACTGAGCCGCTGATGCTCGCCGTGAACGTGATGAACCAAGGCCTGCGGCTGTGTTTGCCGGAAGGAAAAATAAAGATGCGGGACGAGGGTCATTCTCACACAAGGTGTCTTTGGGTGTTGGATAGCAAGAATCATGCTTCGGAAAAATTTGGTGGCCATCAAAACTGGGCAAGATGTTCTGGCCTAAGAACTAAGAGCTAAACAACTCAGGCTCAAAGAAAGTGATCTGTTTTCTAGGACAATTCATGTGAAAACGTCGCCCTTAAAGCAGGAATATGCTATCATCAGGAATTCCTAGGAGGGCTTCGGGTTCATAGTATCGCATGTAGTTCAAGGCCCTCCAGCAAACTTCCTTGTAAGGACCCCAAAATAATGTAACCCTAATTTTCGGACACTCCGAACCGAAAATCCTTTATAGAACCCTGTTACAAACCCTTATAGATCCCTTTAAAAGTACCCTTAATTCTCGGAAACTCCCATATGATGGTAGTCCTTTCGGGGATACCATCAATGAGAGGTCCGCCTCGCACGGGCAGAAGCTCGTCTTTGGTAATTTTCAGAGACATCCATATCCGAAGTCTTTCGTCTGTGTCTGTTTTGCTTCTGGTATATTTTATGTGAACTGCTGGGAGTTAGGATAGAGGGTGCTTCGAGAATCATTCTTCTAGCCACTCCTGTTCCCAGCCATAAACCCGAAAGCACTTTGTTCTAACAGCCTCAGGTTGCGCGTAGTGTTGAGTTCTCCTATTATCGGCTAGGTAGGTCTGGAATAGGAGGGTCACACTACGGCATGAGATCAGCATGCTCTTTTGATTTTTGATCACCACGTTGATCCGTGGCCATTTTGGGTCGAGACGATCGTCTCGATCCGCGAAGGATCTTTTTGTCGATCAGGTGAGGTCTAGGGCCTGGGTAGCTTTCGCTCGAGCTATGGCTGGTTGGGGTCAAGACGCCTGGGGTCAGCAGCAGGCTGATCAGCCTCAGCCCTATGCTGGTTACCCTAATCAACCTAGGGGCCAGTGGGGAGGTCAGAACCAGCACGATCGCAGAGAGAGGCGCCAACGCCGCGATCGTGGTGGCGATCGCTTCCCAAATGCTGCTCACAACCCCTACGAGGTTCGTCTCCCCCCGCACATTGAGTCGATCGCTACCTGTGAGGACGACGATCGCAAGACCTCGATCATCATGGTCGACAACAGAGACGACAGGATCGTCTCGCCTTTTGGTCCGGGAGATCATGACGAATGCCTCCTCCTCGACGAACGTCTTGACGGAGAGAGATCAAGTCTTGACTCCCAGTTCTGGGTACCACATGTCGCTCTTTGCCAACTACACTCTGGATGGCATAAAAGCGACACTGGCGATCTCAGTGGACTCTACGACAGGAGTTCCCTGTGGAGACTGGTCTGCTCAGACCGCCAAGGCACTCGCCCACGAGGCTTTTCAGCCTTTCTCGTGGCCGGTGCTCAGGGACACGTCGCCATCGTACACCGGCATCAAGGTGTACAATGGCAATGAGATCCTCTTTCACTGGATCCTGAGGGGATACCGTGCCGACTCGGATCTGTCGGTTCAGCAGCAGTTCGCTGATGAGCTGCTGATCCGCGACGTCTGCCGTGGTCGGGTGCGGCTCTCAGTCGTGGTGGCCGCTTTCACCGGTTGGAAGTGCTCCGTCTTCTCTTTCGAGTGTGGCGGTCGCACATACTCCGTGGGCCCTCAGGGCGTGGTCGTGGCTGGAGATCATGCCCGCTCGAGGTTTGAGCTCCGAGTGTGCAGCCGCTCTTCAGAGGATGCGGTCGGAAATGACGCCGATCGGCTGGAGTTCCGCTATCGGGATGCCAACAATCGCATGGACTTGAAGTGCGCTCGCACTTCGGTCCCGGCTACGTGGTTGACGGTCTCCCACATCAGCGGGCCTACGCTCATTCAGGCCATCACCCGGTGCCGTGATCAGCGGGCACGGGTGGAAGGGCCTGAACAGACTGAGCAGTTCGCTCAGCTGGCGGCCGCTCACCAAAACTGGTGGCACAACGCTCTCACCACGGACTATGCCCATATCGGCGTGCTGGTCTCGTTCGTGGGCGGCCTTGATCATGGCAACTTCCACGTTCAGTGCGAGAGCAAGCTCTACGTGATGCAGGGGGCCGTGGTCTCTAGGGCGGCGCTCGCCGAGATGACCCACACTCAGGAGTCGGCCTCTCCGCTGCCGTTCGGCCCGCCCGCTCTTTCTCAAGGGGCTTGGCGGCAGGCAGCGGTCAGCTCTGACACGGCCGTGCCGGAGACTTCGCAGATTGCCGTTCGCAATCGCAATCGGGCGGAGATGGAATCCCGGGCGCTCGCCCCCGAAGATCGACCACCTGCTCAGCCGGTGGACTACGATCAGAACGATGAGGAGGGCGCCCGTGGGCACATGATCGATGCTGCCAGGGACGATGCTCGGCAAGATCGTTCCTTTGCCCGCTCGACGGCAAAGCTCACACCAGCGCAGTTCGCCGAGCTGGCTGACTCGTACCACAACCCGGCTGGTCACGCTACCTCTTCGGCGGCAGCTCAGTCTTCCACGGTCGTGGTTGAAGAGGCCGAGCCGGAGAACTTGCTGGCTCCAGCAGGTGAGCCGACCTCGTTCAGGCCGCACCGCACGCCATGATCGAGGCAGATCTCAGAGGCGCCCACCCGTTTTGATCCAAGGCTGTTCACCCCAGGATGAAGGCGATTTAAGTTCTCGCTCGCATTTTGGAGCCACGACTGCTCCCGCTCGGGCAAAAGTTTCCAGGGATGCATCTGGATGCGATCAGCAGTTCTGCACATGTTTTCACTGTTGATGTCTCTTTCTCTCTCTCTCTCTCTCTCTCTCTCTCTCTCTCTCTCTCTCTCTCTCTCTCTCTCTCTCTCTCTCTCTCTCTCTCTCTCTCTCTCTCTCTCTCCCCTTTCTCAGTGCAACATGTTCACAGTGCTCGGCATTCATGTCGTTCGTCGTTCGTCGTGCCGTTCGGTTGGCCGGGAAGGTTGGTCGGGGCACTTCAACGACGATGCTCATGATGCCTTCCTCGAGTTTCTTCTTTCGCTAGTTTTGGCTCGGCAGGATGTTGCGGGAAGCAGCGCCAGCCGATCGCTGGACAGCGAAGATCCTTGCTTACCCATGTTTCGACCCTGGGTTTCGCCAGGCGATCGTGGCGACCCGGCTGGCAGAGATCCCTTTTGTCCTTTCAATGGACGCCGGGACGCCTGAGCAGTTCGCCGCGGTGTCTCTCGACTGGACGGCCAGCTCGGCCAAGACGGAGCACGACCTCCTGGCTCCGAGGACCCAAATGCTCGAACAGTACTGGGTCTTCGTGAAGGCCGCGGAATCGCTCTTTGTTGAGTCTCTCGGCTACCAGATGGGCTTTGCTCGCTGCTCGAAGGTGCCCCGAGAACGTTCTGCAAAGTCGATCGCACACTTTCAACGGGAGATGGCCATCCGAGCTCTAGCTGCACCAGTTCTGGCTCCTTCGGCTAAATCGAGGCTGCCGGCAAGCTCTTCTTCTCCCTCGGCGACTCCATTGCTCGACTTGGAGAACGCCGAGAAACAGAAATGGGCTAAGCGCTTGAAGGCGATCGCTGATCGGGCCGGCGAACACGCTCGGCCCGAAGGGGTCCACGATGCTGAGGGGATCCTCTCGGAAGAGGAACGCGCTCGCCTTCGGCTGTTGGTTTTCACCTCGGGGGCGCCTTCTACAATGGCAAACCACATTCGTAGGTTCGAGAAGTTCGAATTGTGGGCTCGGCACGTGCCGCTCCCCCTCTACCCCATCTCGGACGACAAGATCCTGAAGTATGCCATGGAGCTCGACTCAAGGGAGTGCGGCCCGACTGTTCTTCCTTCGCTCCGCATGGCTCTTAAATGGGTGGCTTTTCGGATTAACCTCAAGCTCCCTTCGATCGAGACAGCGGAGCTAAAGGCGCTCGAGAAGGAGATCTTCACACAGCGAGGGCGGCCGCTGAAGGAAGCGATCGCTTTCCCGCTCGAGCTGGTCCAGGCTATGGAGCGCTTTGTCGCTAACGAAGCTCACCCTGTACCGGCTCGGGTGTTCCTCTGGTGGGTCCTCTGCATGATCTTCGCGTCGCTCCGCTTTGACGACGCGATCCATGTGAAGCCCCACGAGCTAGAGGTCAAGCCTGACGGTCTGTTCGGGATCTCCTGGCAGACCAAGACTGAGCGGAAGCGGCGCGGCACCAAGTTCATGGTCCCCGACGTTGCTTTTTCTAAAGTGGCTTGGTTCAAGATCGGGAAGGACTTGTTCGAGTCGCAGTTCCCGCTCGTGGAACGCGACTTCTGGATCCCCGAGCTCGACACCAAGGAGCGCTGGCGCCAGACTCCCCCTGATTACGCTCGCTCTCTCCAGTGGCTCCACCACCTGGTTTGGCTCGCGGGGCAGGAGAGTGCGGTCGCGAGGGAGTTCCTGGACAAGGTCACCGATCTTACGTGGCACTCAGCTCGAGTAACTATGCTTGATCTGGCCGTCCATTGTGAACGATCGGAACAAGAGATCGGGGTTCAGGCGAACTGGAAGAACCCCGGCCCGCTCGTCCTCAAGTACACTCGCTCGAGGTCTTCTCTTCCAGCGAAAATGATCAAAGAGTTGGTGCAGGAGGTCTCGCGCGAGTTCGTGCCCCTCTGTGCTCAAGAGGATGACAAAATCGAGGACGCAGAGGACAGGGATCTTTCATTGACTGAGTTCTTTGTCAAAGTCCCGGTCAAGGGCTCTAGTTACGACTATCGTTTTCATGTGTGTTCAGCAGACTCTGTGGAAGAGATCGCATGCAAACGCGCGATCACGCCCGAATTTACACACATCGGGTCTGTTCTGCCCGACCCTAAGCTCTTTTGCAAACTGTGCGCTAAGGCTCGGCCAGACGTGGCTCTCGCCTTTAAGGTCTAAAATTCTGTGCAGTGCTGCGCCTGCTCGCGCCTTGTCGCATTTGAGAAAACTCTGTTGAGCTTGCTCAAGCTTTGATTGAGGCTCTTTTGCGTTGTTCCGCCATGGTCGACCGCACGGTCTA